CCTGAATATTTTAATCACCCATTCCTCTTTCTTCCAAGAATGAGTAAATTAAAATACAAGTCCAATAACGCGAATCCAAGAATAGTACGGTTCCGAAGGAAATACAGCCTTTTTAAAAGGAACATACACAAAGGTCTTTGGGTCCTGTTGTCTTGATATATCGTGAAGCGTACTTTTCATTTGAGATGCTGCTGCTTTAGAAAAGGCACCTGTGTGTCTCCAACAGAACAAGTATCTTGCAGCAGGTCAGATTATAAGGTAGGTTGTGGCACACTGAACTGCCGGGATTTATGGTGCTGAGTGAAGTATACGCATTTATAAATCGACTAACTAGATTATAAATACTTAGTTGATAGGGTGGAAACATTGCTGTATTTCTCTTAAAATATGTATATTAACTCATTCTCAATGTGATTTATGCAGCGGATACGGAGATTAATGCAGCAGCGTTTGTGAAAGCAGTTATTGTTGATTAATTCATAAGTAGCCTTATAAAAATTTCAATGATAAATGGTAATAAATACGTTGTATCAGCTCCCCTTTATTATAAGCAATGGCTACGAGTTTGGAAAACAAAGTAAATTAAACTATGGAAACAATCAGAGATTGCAAAATACTGCAGGTTTGAACCGACCTTGGCCTGGGGAAGGCGGGATGCGCGGCGTGCCCCGGCTGGGGGGTGCAGCCCGGGCCGGGCTGTGGGGCTCCTGCCCATCCGGCCGCCGCCGCCGTGCTCAGCCACGGCTCATCACAGCAGATACAAACCCCATGCAGCCCCGGGGTCGAAGTGTCGGACTCGAAAAGCTTGGTCTGAAAGAAGAGGTGAGGTGGGGCTGGCCGTGTCCCCCGCCAAAGCAGCCCGTCCCCGGTGCCAGCCCCACACCGCGGGGACTCGGGGTGCTCTTGCGTGGTGTCTGTTGGGATGGGCCTTGCCCAACGTGCTCACAGCGTCCTCTGCAGAGCTTCTCCCACGTCTGAGGTTTCAGGAGCTCACATTAATTCCAGGCGTCGTAACCTGAGGTGGGATCTGTCTTTGCAGGCAGCGGGGCGAGGGGCCGGGTCCCCCCGGCTCTGCCTGGTCCTCAGGCACACGTGGCCTCACCGTGTCCTGGGCTCCGGCCCATGATACAACGCAACCTAACGTACTTCCTTGGACTTACAGACTCTCCGTAGTCTCTTTGGGGCAAGGGGTTTTACCGGGACCATTTCACACTGGAGTTTTGTGCCTTCGGGTGAGAGCCCGGAGAGCTCTGCTCCCACTCCAGCGGGGCAGTGAGGGTCGGGGGGTTTCGGATTGAGCCAAGTGAAGATGAGACATGGGCGTGACTACATTGGGAAAAATGAGATTTTTCTGTTCAAGCTTGTTTTCCTTGTGGAGTACCCACGTGCCGTTACTGCGCTGTGACACGGTAACGTTTTGTACCCAGGCTGGTGCAGCGTGCAATCCAGGGGCTTCTCTGGGCGATCACATCATCACCCTTAACTTCATCCTAAGGCTTTGCTGTTCACTTCATCTTCAACCTGAAGCCTTCATCCATTTTGGCTGTTGATGGTTTAATCACATCTGATCTTTTACGTTGTGTTTGCCAAGTCATGGCCCCTATGGATGCCCTCTATGACAGGGGGGTTGGAACTCGATGATCTTCAAGGTCCCTTCCAACCTAAACCACTCTATCATTCAATGATTTTCTGCCTTTCCTACCTTGACCAGTAAGAGTCAGGGATGAGCAAGCTGTGCTGGTACATATGGTCGGAAGCGTCTGTGAAGGAATGGGGTATGGAATGGGAAGTCTTTGGGAGAAAAAGCGAGCAAAGAGGGAAGGGCTTAGGTTGTAGAGGTCGTGTTTGAGTGGTGGTTTGCCAGGAACTTACATCATCCTGACTTCAGCAGGTCCACCACAGTGGCACTGTGGCAGGGAAGTGGTGCCTGCCCAGGTGTTGATGTCCGACACGTAGCGCTTGTAATATAAAGCAATATATTAAGGACAAAGCTCAGAAATGAAGCCTTCATGCAGAGCTTTGGATTCCAGTCATCTCGGGGCACAGTCTGGGCGCTTCTTGGCTTTCTTGGAGCAGGACTCCATGCTTCAGCAG